CGCGAGGAGCGGGGTCCCCGCACCGGAGCGTAGACGCGGGCGGCGCGGCTCCATCGCGGGGCCTCGGGGGGGGCGCAGACCTGCGGAGCCTGCGGCCGGCGGAAGGTGAGCCCCGGGGTGCCAGGCGGTGTTGGGGGATGTGGGGGGCGGTGTGTCTGGGGACAGGGGCATCAAGGTTTGCGAAAGTAGAGGGGCCCTCCAGACTGGGCCTCTGCAGATCCCCGGGGGCCTCCTGGGGTAGTACTGAGTATCCTTCCCCAAGGCGACGGTGGGTTCGTGAGGGGTGCGAAACTGGCCACCCCGGCTCCCCGACCTCTGGCCGGCCATCATTGACACCCCCATTACCCTTGCTGCTGCGATCCCCCACTGTGTCTCCAGAGACACTGCTCTTCTGTGGCCTGCGGGGGTGGGGGGTGTCCTGATATAGGGGTCCTTGCCAAGGCAGGACTCCCAGCGTTCTGAAAAGGATTGCCCACCCTTCTGACTCCAGTGGCATCTCCAATCCCCGCGGAGCTGGGAGGAGCAAGGAGGGTGATCCCACACCTGCCCCCAGCTCCCCCACCCCCGTTACCACCCATAAGCCTTAGAGTGGAGACAAGGCTTGGTTCATGCCCCCCAGCCATAACCCCCAAGTTGCAACCAAAGTCGGCTGCCTGCTGCTGCCCCAGCTCCACCCCCTCGCTTTACATCTGGGTGCTTGGCCCTACCTGCCCTACACCCCCATCCACCAATCTTGGCTGTCTGGCATCCTCTCTCCTCCCATCCCTGGGGGAGCTGGCTGGGGCCCAGCGTAGCCGATGTTGTAATGTCCCTGGCAGTGCCCATGGAGAGAAGCGGCTGGGCCTGTTCCCAATAAGTTAACCAGGGCCAGGCCCTCCACCCGCCAGGAGAACTTGACTCAGGTTCTAGAAGGGGAGATGCTGGCTGGGTGGGAAGGAGCTGTGACAATATTGGCGGTGCAGGGAAACGTCCAGGTAATGGGCGTTGCAGGACTGAGACTTGTCATTTGTTCCTGGTGCCTTTCAGAGGGGCCACTTGTTTCTCTTGGGGCAATGGACCTTTTTTCCTCGCAGGAAGATTAGGGTGGGGGGCTTCTGTGTAGCGACCTAGTGGCCGAGAGAGGAGGACTCCTTTGGAGTCTATTGGTTCCTTTGGGGTGCAGAAAGGGGGCTGGCAGTGAGCCCTGTGTCCCCAGCGTGCCTGGGAGCACCAGGCAGCAGTGGTCTGAGCATGGGAAGGGCAGGAACATTCCTGCTCGAGGCCCGCTGCTCTCCCAGCTCATCACCATCGCCCAAGCTGGGGGGGCCCTGAGTCCTGTGTCCACACTGCACTGCCCGCTAGCGGGAAGGGGGATGGCGGGGTTTGGGGGTTGGGGCAGCCTCGGGTTTCCCTTTCTCTGCTTCCCTGTTCAGCTCCCTCTCCCAGCCCAGATGTTTCTGCAGCAGCAACTCCTGGGGCAGAGAGCAGTTGACAGGCTGGCTAGGGGAAGAGTAGGGACAGACCCGGGGTGAGGAGAAGGGCTCATGGGCGTCAGTCACCCGTATGAGGAGCACTCAGGGTCTGCTCTGGCGTGCATGCTCACACACACACACACACACACACACACACACACACACACACCCCTCCCAGCTCGCATGCTGCTCCATGCCCATCTCACCTCACGCACATTCCCTTACATACTCTCACACTTGCTCCCACGGGCACTGGTCCTGGCTCTTGGGGGCTTCTACAACCTTCCACTTACTCATCTCTCATGGACACGTACTGACTGTCCCAACACCCTCCCTCGTGCCCTTTCCCAAAGCCACGCATATCCCCGGTCAGTGTACCGCGAGCGCCGCTCATGCTAAGTGGCTGCCTGCCACTCCCAGATACTGCCTGCATCTTAAAAGCCTCCCCCAGCTCCACAGCCTGGCAGTGGGAGGCACATTCGTCTGCATCTGCGTGCTCTGGGGGACATTCCTGGCGGCTGGAGGCCTCAAGGGACACAGGACTCTCCTCTGCTAGGTAATCCACAAATTGGCTTCTCGAACCAGGGCAGCAGGGGCCAGAAGCACCGGAGGACGGCCACCCCCTCACTGTCTGCTCTGGATGCCGCTGTAAGGGCTGATGGGAGCCTTTTCGAGGCGGGCGGACAGAGCTCCAAGAGACGGAGACCATCTCCAAGGTGGAGATTAGAGGGTAGCAGCATTAAGCTGAGCAAGGATTATGTTGGAATTTCCTGGGCGTTTAACAGCTGCAGAACAGGACGGAGGACAGGGCCCATGGTGCTGACCCCTCCCACGCTGACCCCGTGGCTGACAGGCGTGAGGGCCAGCTCAGCAGCCACCCCACACGTTAACCATCAGCCCCTTTGCCCTTGGGACCTCCCTCGTCCCGCTGGGCCCTGCAGGCTGCTTCGCCTCTCTGAATGTTCCTGCCCGGGCTCACTTTGCAGTGATGCCCTCGTCATGTGTCCCCAGCCCCCCTGGTGCCCCTCGCCCCTTTAGAGCCAGAGTCCTTCGCTTGACGCCGAGTAAGAGAAGCATGATATCATCAGTGGGGCCATTTGAACTTCTTCAGAGAGAAGCTTAAAGAAAATCCAGGGATAAAAGTTATTCTGCTCATTCATTCCCAACTCCTACTGCCTCTTTATCTCCACTTTCTCCTTATAGATAAAAATTTCTAGATTGTTTTGAAACCTAGAGAGAGGAGGGAGGGGAGGGTAAAATGTAAACCTACGCTATGCTAGTCTAGGTTTTAAAAATATTTCCCCCTTTTTTTTTGTTTAGATGATAATTATGAGATTTTGTTTTAATTGTAAAAATAAGATACGCTCGTTGTAACAAGAAAACCCATTCAAATATATGTAAGACAAAATTAATAATCCCCTCTCTGCCAAGCCTTCATTTCTCCCTCCTACAGTAACCAGTTTTAATGGCCAGTACATTTTTCTGGCATACCTTCCTCCAAGCTTATTTGGCTTGTATTACTTAATTTTTTTAAAAACTCATTTTGTGGATCGAGGTGCATAAACTATTTTAAACCATCTCTGTTCATAAAATTGTCATATTTAACATTTCAATTTGAGGACAGTTAATTTTTTAAATTCCTACAGATTTACTCATTTAATTTATTTTTAAATCTTTCATTCTTATAGATAACAGAACTCAGAAGCTATGATGTATAAGCTAAGAGTCTACACATCTTTAATCTTTGCCAGTTTCTGGAAACAAAACACAATTTTGATGCCTACGGACTGTCATATTTTTATAAAGCAAAGAAATGTAGCAGACTTGTGGATGCAGTGTCTCTACTGTAGAAAAAAGATGTAAAGTGATATATGTAGAAAAGAAGCTGAGAAAAAAAACGTGAAGTCATAGAATGCAATTTTTGTCATCTGAAATTTTGTCAAATCAGTCTTATTTTCTGAGCTACCATTTTCCATCCACATTTCTGCTGCTTCTGGTGTGTTATATTTTTAAAACCACATACACATCTGAAGTTTGAATGTTTTCCTGATTGAAGTAAGTCTTCGGCTGTTCCTGGGTGAGAGGATTTCTGAACACTGACCAATGCCTTTCGCAGGCTGGAGAAGACAGAGGAATCCAAAGCAGGCCTGTCCCCCTCTGTGTTGCAGGAGGGACGCACTTGGCTGCTTCCAGGACGCGCTCCTAGACTAAGCTTAGACAGATGTCCTAGTCCTCAACCATTGAAGGCACCTTTGAAAATCAAGTTCTAACTCCTGCTTGTTCAGTATTCCAGGCATGTGGATGGAGCTACGTGTTCTTGTCACTTACGTTTCTGCCTTTGAAACTTGTTTCCAAAAAATCTGCAGGAGTAGGAATTAGCTGGCAGCAATTTCTTCCATATCTTAAAGTTTCGTCTTTTCTTGTTCTTATTCTTGTTGTAGAGGTACACCCGAGTTCTTTTTATATATATTAAAAAAATAAAAGGCTCAATATCTGATTTGTTTGACAGGCAAGAATTGACCTCACTGCCTAGTCTCACTCAACCATGGTGTTTTGTTTTTTTTTTTTCCCCTGAAGGAATTTGTTTATAACCGTCAGTCTCTGGATCTAAATCTAAAAGAGGTCCCTTCAAACAGCAAGGAACACTTCTGGGCAGTTGAAGAGCCTCAACCGTTTTTTTAACTGAATATCTTGTTTCTTGGTAAAAAAAAATTTAACAATTATGAAAGTGGCAATCTACACGCAATGTCTCCACTTAATTCTTTTCTTTCTGATGCCTCTTGAGGACAGAAGCTGAGTGGCTTTAACATGTTTCCTAACTGCTTTTGCTCTTTTCTGGATCCTCTGGAGAGAGGCCAGCTTCATGTTGTCATTAAGATGCATGCTGACGCTATGCATACACACCCTGCCGCAGCCACAAGCTGCTGTGTTGCTTGTATTGTGGGTCATCAAAGCAAATGCTCTGCCATTCCTCATCTTCTAGAATGTTCCATAGAGCACAGGGGATAGGATCTGCAGTACATATCTTCCCTCTTGGTTTGCTGTCTCTCAAGAAAAAAAAAAAAATTCATTGAGATGCATCCAAAGTGTTTATTATTCCTTCTCCATGATTGTCTGTCTAGTTATAAGTTTAGGAAGATGCAGTGCTTACCGTCTCCTTTTTGTACAGATTCCAGAATCCATCCATCTTCTGACTGAAAGAGGCTATTTTAGAGCATATCTGCTGGGCAAATGATAGAATAGCTTTCATTGTTTGAAGACATTTTTCTGGCATTTTCAGTTCTTGATAACAGCATTCCTAAAGACCCTATGGCTCTTGGCGTGTCAAGCATGTCTCCAACGTAAGCCACTGAGCGTTTGGGGGATGCATGCAAGAACACCTATGACTTCAGGATATTCATTCAACAGCCACTGGTGATGGGGCCATGCTTTGTTACTTCACGATCTCCCTGTTCTTCTTTGAAACATTTCATCTGCGAATGATTCTAGCAGCATTCGGGACAGTATTGGCAAAGAACCTCTGTTACTTAGGAATCGTTTGCCATGTAGAAATGCTTCCCTTTTTCTGGCCTTATGGAGATACAGTTGACGTATAACATTGTGCAAGTTTAAAGTGGACAACCTGGTGATTTGGAAATGCTTCTTGCTTGCCTCCATACACTATCAGTTAAACTCTGTCTCGCAAGTAGGGTTCTGGTGGCATGAAAGGTGCGTTTCAGTGGACAGCGGCCTGATGCCCATTATACATCAGCCCACCAGCTGTAACATCAGCGCCTTTTCGTGATAACCGCATACAGGTTCATCTCGCAATAGAGCCTGTGTTACCAGGAAAAGTTAGATTAGCAGGAACCTAGTTATGATTTTCTGATTGATCAAAGTCAAATAGTGTCATAGTTTGGTTTCAGCTTCATCGAGAAACGTGCAGTTTTCAGGAGTGCTGCAGGTCACGTGGCAACAGCTCTCATGGTGGAAACAGATTCCAGGTCCCAACTGCTGTCTTTCCTCTCTCTCTCTCTCAGGTTCATGTCTTTGAACAACCTGCCTCTTATTTTCTCCTCAACAGAAATAAAGGGAATGGACTGCTCTGGTCCATGCAACTCACAGACTTTTGAGACTCAGTCACAGGGGGAGAGATGGGCCACCACTAATCTCTAGACTGATGAACAAAGGAAGGTCTGAGCCCGTTTGTCTTCACTGTGGCCCTGGAGGCAGCCGTGCCCCCACAGTCATATGCCTGTGAGCCAGAGGGGTGCTTGTGTATGGATGGCCTTCTTAAATTAACCAGCGGGGACCATACTTGACACTCCTCTGCACGGACTACTTTCACTTGGGAAATCCTTTTCATAATCAGTGCATAAGCAGTAGCCCTCACTGTTTTTTTAAGGTTGTGCCATAATTTATTAAATATCTTCCCGTTGACGGACAGTTGCTTTCCAGTCTTTTCCCTTACAAACAATTCTGCAGCAAATATCCTTGTTTGAACATCTCTGCCATCAGACCTAAGGATGCAGTACCTGAAGGACAAACTCTTAGAAGTGAAGCTGCTAGACAGACATCACCGACTGTCCCTCTAAGAAGATACACCAGTTTGAAACTCATAAGCCCCGTGAATATAGAGAGCCCAGCTCTCATACCTTCTTCAACCCAGTGCATTATTAATCTCATACGACAAGATGGCACTGTTGTTTCCACATTCTGTCCTTTCATTGTGAGCAGACTAGAAGCATTTTTTCACATCCATCCATTTATTTTTCTGTAAGCCATAGAGGAAATGTGCCCCTTGTGGAGAGAGGACCGTTGCTGACAAAATGCAGGCATGCCAGACCCACATAGCTCTACCCTTTCTCTGTGCTGGCTCACTTATCAGATGGAATCTTTGCGCCTATGTTCTTCTCGCTCCTGTTCTCCCATCTTCCCTTGCGTCATACCCCACGGCTCTCTTCCGTGGTCCCTCTCACTCCACTGCCTCTCTGTACTGTCCAGCGTGTCCAGGTCTGATGTGGGTCAGGAGGTGTTGGGGAGGGGGGATCGTGTGTCCCCAGGGAAGGAGTAGCTTCTACTCTGCTTGTTTTAATGAGAAGACTCTTCTGACTTCCAATACAGGGTGGCTCTAGGAGGAGGAGGGAGAGTAAGTGAAGAGAAAGAACTGAAATAGCTCCTTCCAGAAGAAAAGGGTAAGATTGGCCCAGAACTCGCCTAGGCTCTAAGAGGGAGGGGCTGTAAGAAGTGCTCAGAGATGCGGCACCTGCAGGGAGGGAGGGAGTGACTAGCACGTGGCCCTCTAAGATGGTGGACTTGGCACAGGTCAGGAGAGGGTCTGCTCCCGACAGGCCCTTACCGTGTGGTTGGTGGTTTGCGAGCTGTCTGTGTAGCAGTGTAGTTACCTGCCATCTTGTTCTTCTGGTCCTGTGTGTCTCCCTAGGAAGCAAGCTTGGCTGCACACCCAGTCTTACAAAGCAGCAGCCCTGCCTGGGAGCAGGGTGGTGGCCAGGGCAATGGTGGGAGCCCCGAAGACGCCCCATGGCTGCTGAGGGGGCTGCCCGGTCAGGGAGCGGAGTGGCGGGCATGGTGTGCAGTCTCTGGGTCCTGGTGCTGGGGTCCTCAGTTCTGGCGCTGGAAGGTAAGAGGGAGGGGGGACTGGAGAATCCCTAGCTGCCAGCACGGGTGGGGAATGGGAAAGACTCAGAAAAGGCAGAAAAGAGGGAAGACATCAAGAAGGGGGAAGCAATGGGGAGGGTTCCAGGGAAAGGCTCCTGACACAGAGTTGTGCCCCTGCTGGTGAATTAAAAGGACCAGGGAGGGAAAATTCCTGTTTTCCTCCTGGGGTGGGGCGAGGGTTAGCAGTCCTTGCTGGGGGCTGGGCTGCTGAGTGCCCCTTCTTATCTCCCACCAGAGGTACTGCTGGACACCACTGGAGAGACATCTGAAATTGGCTGGCTCACCTACCCGCCAGGTGGGGTGAGTGTCACTCTTTTATTCCCCACCTGCTGCGCCTCCCCACCCGGCTCCTTGTGTGGGATTTGGGAAGGAAGCCCCGGGTAGAGCCGAATGGAGTAAGACTCCTTCGAGCAGGACTTTGGGGTCTACTTACCCGGCTTTGCCAGCTAACAGGGTCTCCCCGCCCTCCCTGCAGTGGGATGAAGTGAGCGTTCTGGACGACCAGCGACGCCTGACGCGGACCTTCGAGGCATGCCACGTGGCAGGGGCCCCGCCAGGCACCGGGCAGGACAACTGGCTGCAGACACACTTTGTGGAGCGACGAGGAGCGCAGAGGGCACACATCCGACTGCACTTCTCCGTGCGGGCGTGCGCCAGCCTGGGCGTGGCCGGGGGCACCTGCCGGGAGACCTTCACCCTTTACTACCGCCAGGCCGAGGAGCCCGATGGCCCCGACAGCATTTCCGCCTGGCACCTCAAACGCTGGACCAAGGTGGACACCATTGCCGCGGACGAGAGCTTCCCCGCCTCCTCGGCGTGGGCGGTGGGCCCGCGCGGGGCCGGGCAGCAGCGCGCCGGGCTGCAGCTCAACGTCAAAGAGAGGAGCTTCGGCCCCCTCACCCAGCGCGGCTTCTACGTGGCCTTCCAGGACACGGGGGCCTGCCTGGCCCTCGTGGCGGTCAAGCTCTTCTCCTACACCTGCCCGTCCGTCCTCCGCGCCTTCGCCTCCTTCCCTGACACGCAGGCCAGTGGGGCCGGGGGCGCCTCCCTGGTGGCAGCCGTGGGCACCTGTGTGGCTCACGCAGAGCCGGAGGAGGATGGAAGCGGAGGCCAGGCAGGGGGTAGCCCCCCCAGGCTGCACTGCAATGGGGAGGGCAGGTGGATGGTAGCGGTTGGGGGCTGCCGCTGTCAGCCAGGGCACCAGCCAGCCCGTGGAGACAAGGCCTGCCAAGGTGAGGTTCTGTTCCTGTGCACTTGCCCAAGATCTCCCCATCTGGCCCCCAACCCTGGGACACCTCTCCTGAACACCCCAAACTTCCTTTTGTCTCCAAAAGGTCCTGAATAAGCTATCTTAGGAAAGGACTCTTGTTTTCTCCAGATCTATTTTCTAAAGCACACAAATTTGGTGTCATATGCTCATCTCAAATTTCTAGAACCTTCTGGAGACTTCCACAGCCATTGCTGAGCATCCTAGGGCTGCAGGCCTGAGAAGTGAGAGATCAAAAGGAGTTAAACTCCTGGGTTATTTCGGGATGTGTCCTCTGTCCCTATTTGCCGTCTAGTTAGGAAAGGATCATCACTGTGCCAGGTGACCAGGATGCGGGTAGGAGCAGGCAGTGGAGACCAGCTAAGGGGAATCCTTCTGCTGCGGGGTGGAGGCTGCAGAAGGCATCTGCACAGGGAAGTCATACAATCAAGCCAGACGCCTCTATCTGGTGCTTGGCTTGCCCATAGCCCCCACTGCACCTCACTTTTTCCATCAGCAGAAATGCAGTTCTACCCCAGTAATCTCTGCCTGAGGGAAGGAAAGAGGGAAGAAGGGAAGAGAGGGGGTAGGTCTCAGGATGATAGGAGAAAGAGCCCTGGGGAATGGAAGGCTGGGGGCATGTCTGTGTGCTGGCGTGGTGGGGCTCAGGAGGCGGTGGATGGAGCGAGCCTAATGTCTCTGCCCCATTCTGTCCCCCTAGGCTGCCCTGAGGGGTCCTACAAGGCCTTGGCTGGGAACGCGCCCTGCTCACCGTGCCCTGCCCGCAGCCATGCCCCCGATCCTGCAGCCCCTGTTTGCCCCTGCCGTGAGGGCTTCTACAGGGCCAGTTCAGACCCCCCAGAGGCCCCCTGCACCGGTGAGTCCCCCACCAGCCCCAGGGGTGGAAATGGGACTGGGGGGCAGGCAGAGAAGGGGAGGCTGAGGGCAACACAGTGGGGCTGGTTCACATTTGCAGTGACTTTCCTCCTGTTCATTTTCTCCCTCCACTCTCCTGCTTCTCGCCCTGACCCCATCCACACCGGCCCACCTCCTGCCTCTCCTCCCACCTGCCTCCGTTGCTTTCTGGTCCCCACCCCATGCTCTCCGTCTCCTCCCCTCTGGGCCACCCTCCTCCCCTTCCTTCCTCCATCATCCCCACCCCTCCTCCTTCACCTCGACTCCCACCGCTCCGTCCTTTCCTGGCCCTTCTCGCTGCCCCCACCGGCTTCTCCAGGCCCTCCATCGGCTCCCCGGGAGCTTTGGTTCGAGGTGCAAGGCTCAGTGCTCATGCTGCACTGGCGCCTGCCTCAGGAGCTGGGGGGACGAGGGGACCTGCTCTTCAATGTCGTGTGCAAGGAATGTGGAGGCCACCAGGAGCCAGGCACGGGCACCGGGGGCGCTTGTCGCCGCTGCAGGGATGAGGTGCACTTCGACCCCCGCCAGAGGGGCCTGACCGAGAGCCGAGTGTTAGTTGGGGGGCTCCGGGCACATGTGCCCTACATCTTGGAGGTGCAGGCTGTGAATGGGGTGTCAGAGCTCAGCCCCGACCCTCCCCAGGCTGCCGCCATCAACGTCAGCACCAGCCACGCAGGTGAGACTTCCGCTCTGCCTGATGCCTTACCTTGCCTCCTTAGAAGCCCCTCCCCCACTCTTGCTGCCGGGCCCCTGGAAGCCCCCCCACTGACCGCCCCCCCCCCCCAGTTCCCTCTGCAGTCCCTGCACTGCACCAGGTGAGCCGGGCCTCCAACAGCATCACGGTGTCCTGGCCACAGCCGGACCAGGCCAACGGGAACATCCTGGACTATCAGCTCCGCTACTACGACCAGGTGGGGAGGTGGGGGGTGCCCAGCAGGGCTGCTGGGAGCGCGCGGTGCCCCACAGTGGGGCTAGAGATGGGGGAGGTGGGCCAGGAAGCCTGAGGGTGATGGGGCAGGGCTCAGGAGCTGGGGCTGGGCAGCAGAGAGTGAATGGCTGTCACCCCCAGGCAGAAGATGAATCCCACTCCTTCACCCTGACCAGCGAGACCAACACGGCCACCGTGACACAGCTGAGCCCTGGCCACATCTATGGCTTCCAAGTGCGGGCGCGGACTGCCGCAGGCCACGGCCCCTATGGCGGCAAGGTCTATTTCCAGACGCTGCCTCAAGGTGAGAGGAAGCCTGGATGAGGAGGGGAAGCACCGGGGGGTAGGGAGGAGAGGCCCAGGGCCCACCTCCCCAGGCCTTGAACCCTGGTCCAGCACCCTCCAGACTAGAGGCCGTGTGGGACAGGAGGCTGTGAGGAGAGTCTCCTGGCTGACCAGCTGGCCTTTGGGTCTGTGGGTGGGCGTGAGTGGGCGCATGGTGGGGGGTGGTGGAGGTGCATGCGCTTGTGAGGCCTTGCCCACGTGTGATCTTGGCTGTCTGCCTCCTCAGGTGAGCTGTCCACCCAGCTCCCAGAGAGACTCTCCTTGGTGATCGGGTCCATCCTGGGGGCCTTGGCCTTCCTCCTGCTGGCGGCCATTACCGTGTTGGCTGTTGTCTTCAAGAGGTGAGGCCCCTCCCAGCCGTGTCCCCACCCCACTCACCCCGCCGCACCACCCCACGTCCTGGCAGCCCCAAAGCCCACTGCAGAAACCACGTCCAGGGTCCACCTCCCACCACCGGGCCCCTTCCCCTGGGCCCATGCGAGGCAGGCAGGAGGCACCCAGCAGCCCTCACTCCACAGATCTGTGGCTGGAGAGTGGCCTGCATGGGGGCCAAAGGGGGGGGGGGATGAGAGTGTCATTGCAGGACTCTGGTTTGTCCCCAGGAAGCGGCGTGGGACAGGCTACACAGAGCAGCTGCAGCAGTCCAGCAGTCCAGGTGTGGGGGTGGGGGGGCTGGGGGCTGAGCACAGCAGGAAGCCTAGGTTCCCCGAGGTCTAGGGGAACCCCTCGGCCCTGCCGGTGTAAGAGGGCATGCTTGGGGTGTGGGGGCGGCCTGGCCCCGTACCACACCCTCATCACGCACCCTATTTGCCTACAGGGCTTGGGGTGAAGTATTACATCGACCCTTCCACATATGAGGACCCCTGCCAGGCCATCCGAGAATTTACCAGGGAGGTGGATCCTGCATATATCAAGATCGAGGAGGTCATTGGGGCAGGTGTGCAGGGGCAGAGGAAGGGGACCGGAGGGACTGGAGCCCCCGTGAGCCTTCCCCGGCAGGAGCCCCTCTCTACGCAGGGCATGACACCGCGAGCCCAAGGTCCTTCCTCAATACCCTCCCTCCTCCTACACCTGTTCTCCCAGGCTCCTTTGGAGAAGTACGCAGGGGCCGCCTGCAGCCCCGGGGACGGCGGGAGCAGGCCGTGGCCATCCAGGCCCTGTGGGCTGGAGGTGCTGAGAGCCTACAGATGACCTTTCTGGGCCAGGCTGCAGTACTGGGCCAGTTCCAGCACCCCAACATCCTGCGGCTGGAGGGCGTGGTCACCAAGAGCCGGCCCCTCATGGTGCTGACGGAGCTCATGGAGCTGGGCCCCCTGGACAGCTTCCTCAGGGTCAGTGCTGGCCTGGGGGCGGACGGGGGGGCCTTGGGTCCAGGGGCGTCTGCAGTTCTCAACTGTCCCGGAGACGGGAGACAGAGCCCTGCATCTCTGCTGCCCCACCTCCGCTGGTCTTCAGCCTTCCTTCCCAGGCCATTCTCTGACTGCCTAAGCCGCTCTCCCTCTCCTGCTGATGGCCACGGCGCAGTGTGCGCAGGTTCCCCGCCCGGCTGCTGGCGGCTGACCTCTGCCCCCCGCCCCCCAGCAGCAGCGGGAGGGCCAGTTCAGCAGCCTGCAGCTGGTGGCCATGCAGCGGGGGGTAGCGGCTGCCATGCGGTACCTGTCCAGCTTCGCCTTCGTGCACCGCGCGCTCTCCGCCCACAGCGTGCTGGTGAATAGCCACCTGGTGTGCAAAGTGGCTCGTCTTGGCCACAGTCCTCAGGTGAGAGCACATCTCGGGGGCTCAGCCTTTTCCAGAGCGTGTGGGCGGATGAGCCGGGCTCCGGGGAGCGTACCACGGGGCGGGGGG